TCATGCCGTGCACGGGTACACATACTAATATTAAAATATAATTGTTAAAGATAGAAATAATAAATCTAGATGAAACCTTTCTTTTAGGGGGGGGTTGTAGTATTATACTCCGGTATTTTTCTTTTTGCAAGCTCCAATTGTTATATTTCAAACGAGTAAATTCTGCTTCACAACTTGTACGATGTGACAAGTCTACTCGTGAGTGGATCTCTCTAATAACGCAACAAGGGGGGCAAAAAGCGGAAGAGAGGCACTACATCGCTTGAAGTTTTATGTGGCCGCACATCGGCCTTGAGCAGTTTTTTGTTGTGAGGTAGATTCCATTTTGAGAAACTACGGAGAAGCTCGAAACCATCGATGTGGCTCAATTTGAGAACGAGATGAACAAGAAATTGACCGAGTTTAATGATTTTCAACAGGCTCATGGTCGAATGGTCTTGAAGGTAAGACCAGACGTGAAATCGTCCCATTGTCATTTTATATTGTAAAACCTATTTTCAAGTAAAATTAATAAAAAATACAGACTGCAAATAATAACACAAATATTAGTCACCAAAATCACCAAAAATTCAAATCAAAAAAATATAATTATTTTAATATTTGATAAAATTGATACTGATAATTTAGAAGTCTTATTGATAGGAGAATATCACACTACTCATACATGTTATTATGAAGCCTACGCATGAATATATAGTACAAGAAGTATGCCAATTCAATTATGCTTGGCTAGGAACTATGCATGTGGCTTCCATGGGCCATGCCAACTCACGTAGACGAATTATATACTAGTCTAGTATTATTGCATATATAATAATATTTATTACATATCTCAATACTCCCACTCAAGGTGGAGTGTGAAGATTGCGAACACCCAACTTGCTTCGAAGGAACTGGAAACGTTCTGCACCAAGTGCTTTGGTGAATATATCTGCCACTTGATTGATTGTGGAGATAGGAAGTGGTTGAATTTCATTACTGACTACTCGTTCTCGGACAAAATAACAGTCTATCTCCACATGTTTTGTGCGTTCATGAAAAACCGGGTTGATGGCAATATGTCGAGCCACCTGATTATCACAATATAAGGGTGTTGGGTCTTTTTTGGGGGCCATAAGGTCTCGAAGAAGCCACTGGAGCCATAGAATTTCACTAACCGTGACAGCCATGGCACGATATTCTTCTTCAGCAGAAGAGCGGGAGACAACAGATTGTTTCTTAGTCCGCCAAGAGACAGGCGAATTCCCAAGAGTGATAAAGTAACCAGTGTTGGATCTACGAGTAAAAGAGCATCTTGCCCAGTCTGCGTCACAATAGCCTTTCAAATTGAAGTCATTTTCAGATGACAAGAATATGCCTTGACCAGGTGTTTGTTTTAAGTAGCGTAGGACACGCATAGCAGCATCGAGGTGAGTTTGTCGTGGTGTGCTGAGAAATTGGCTCAATTGACTAACAGAATAAACAATATCTGGTCGAGTCACTGTAAGGTAAAGTAGACGCCCGATTAGTCGGCGATAAGATGAAGCATCCACTAGAGGGCTATCGTCATCTGGGCGAAGTCTTAAATTTTGATCCATGGGGAATTGACTAGGGCGGCTAGCAAGAAGACCACTCTCTTTCAAAATATCAAGAGTATATTTGCGTTGACTGAGTACAAAACCTTCAGGAGAACGAGCAACTTCAATACCAAGAAAATATTTTAGTGTGCCTAAATCCTTGATGCTAAATTTGGAATCCAAGTGGCTTTTCACCATGTCAATGTGAGGGACATTGTTTCCAGCTAAGATAACATCATCAACATAGATAAGAGCAAAAGTTTTGATGGGACCCTGTTCAAAGATAAATAAGGAGTGATATGCGTGGGATTGTTGAAATCCTATTTTCGTGAGGGCCTGAGTGAATTTATGATACCAGTTTCGAGAGGCTTGTCGTAGCCCATATAGAGATTTTTGCAACTTACAAACGCAAGTATCATCTTTTTTTGCAAATCCTGGAGGCATCCGCATATAGACGTCTTCATAAAGATCACCATGAAGGAACGCATTGTTGACATCTAGCTGGTGGACTGCCCATTTATTTTTTACTGCTACGGCCAATAAGCACCGTACCGTGACAAGTTTGGCAACAGGCGCAAAAGTTTCATGAAAGTCAACTCCTTCCACTTGTGTGAAACCCTTAGCTACCAATCTAGCTTTGTAACGTTCCACTTCACCATTTGGCTTATACTTAATTTTATAAACCCATTTAGAATCAACAACCTTTTTTTCGGGTGGCAATTTAACCAAAGTCCATGTGCCGTTTTCTTCCGATGCGGAAATTTCTTTTTGCATGGCCTCCCGCCACAAGGGGTCCTGAACAGCATGTGAGAAATATTTAGACTCATCATGTGAAGTGATAGCCACTAGAAATGCTTTATGCGTTTTTGAAAATTTCTCATAACTGATAAAATTGGACATTGGATATACTGTTGAGTGAAGGTGATTCACGGTGGGCCCAGAGTGAACAAGCGAGGAGGGCAAGTCAATCTCATAATTTTCGAGATGTTTTGGAATCTTTCGGATCCTCTCGCTCCTTTTTTATTCTTTATTGGACTTGATCAATGGATTTACAATTGATTGGCTAGGTGGTCCCCCGATGATTGGATTTTGTACAGGAGCATCACAATCAGTACTTACAATCGGTGAAGATGGGCCGTGTACAGATGTATTTGGCAGCCGCCTGGAGGGTGAATTTGTCTCCATACGTTCACAATCTGAGCTAGTAGGATTATTCAAGGGCTCCTTTGTCTTTCCAGTGCCAGTGGGGTTACTGCCAGGTATGTGCTGCTGATGGCACATCGAGCTGTCGTCCTATACAGCTGAGGAGTTGTTGGCGTGGTTCATCAATTCCGGAGCCCACTTTATGGGTGAGTTTTGTCTGCTTGGGATGTCCGGACAAGTAGGAGCATCCACATGTCCATTGTCTTCTGTCCATGAGGTAGAACTGGGAATAACAGGGGGCTGCCCATGCACAATAATAGGACGTATAGCAGGGCTATCAACACAATTGGGGTTGTGTGCTCTAGGGACATCATAATTCAAAATTTGATGATAAACTTTGTTTACAATAACGGGAAAATCAAGATCCTGGTCCAGAACTGTTTTAAATGGAAATTTCTCTTCATAAAAAGTGACATCCCGGGAACTGTAAACAATATGTTTTTCCAAATCGAACACCTTATAAGCCTTTTGACCATATGGGTAACCAATAAAAATACAAGGACTCCCCCTTTCGCCAAATTTATCCTTTCTTTTATTGTTGTGGGCGTATACCAAACACTCAAATACACGCAAATGATCATAGCTAGGTACCTTCCCAAATAGCATCTCAAAAGGACTTTTGTTTGAAATAATGGGAGAAGGAAGTCTATTAATAATATAAACAGCAGTTAATATGCATTCACCCCAAAAATCAATAGGTAAGCCAGACTGGAAACGTAGTGCCCTTGTCACTTCCAATATATGTTTATGCTTACGCTCAACAACTCCATTTTGTTGTGGCGTGTCTGTACATGATGTTTCCAACAATATTCCACTCCGTCTATAATAATCAAATAAAATGTTGGTTTGAAATTCTACACCATTATCAGTCCGTATTCGTTTGACCTTTTGCTCAAATTGGGTATTGACCATGTTGCAGAATTGGATTAAAAATTGAGGAACTTCAGATTTATTTTTCATTAAATAAACCCATACACCTCTAGTAAAATCATCAACTATAGATAGAAAATACCTTGCACCGGAGATTGAATCACACCTATAAGGTCCCCAAATGTCGCAATGTATCATCTCAAAACAGCGAGTTGTTTTAATAGCACTTGTAGAAAAAGGTAGTCTAGTCTGCTTAGCTCGGACGCAAGGATCACAGAAATTGTTGCTTCGGTGAAATCCCTTGAGAGAACTAATATGATGTAATTTTCCATCAGATGCATGCCCCAAACGTTGATGCCATAAATTAGAGGTAACTGACATTGCTACCGCTTCATTTTTTGGACATTCCAAGTAATAGAGACCATTACGGAATTTACCCACGCCAATCAGCTTCCTAGAGGGTACGTCCTGTAAAATACAGGAGTCTGGAAAAAATGTAAATGTACAGTTCAGATCGCTTGTTAAGCGACTAACTGAAAGTAGGTTGCATTGGAATTTTGGAATGTATAAAACGCGTTCAAGATGGAACCCATTAGGTAAGTATAAACTTCCCACGGCATGAACTGGAATGGATTCACCATTAGGAATTTTAACTGATGGTTCCGATGCAGGACTGATAATATTAAAAAGATTAATATCATCACACGTGATATGCTCAGTGGCTCCAGAATCAATTGTCCAAGAAATGACATGTGGCAATCTGGCCGCCATAAAAGAAAATATGGGAAAGTGAAAACCTATAATTTTGGTTTCCAGGATTTCGTCTCTGATACCATGATAAAATTGATACTGATAATTTAGAAGTCTTATTGATAGGAGAATATCACACTACTCATACATGTTATTATGAAGCCTACGCATGAATATATAGTACAAGAAGTATGCCAATTCAATTATGCTTGGCTAGGAACTATGCATGTGGCTTCCATGGGCCATGCCAACTCACGTAGACGAATTATATACTAGTCTAGTATTATTGCATATATAATAATATTTATTACATATCTCAATAATATTTGGTTTGAAAATGCATGTAAATAAATACTGTAGGTTATCTAAAAAATTACTGTCTCCGTCCCGCTATGATTGTCCCATTTTACCTTATCGGTCCGTCCCACTAAAATTGTCTCATACTAAATTTGGCAAAATTTGTGTGACCATAAATCATTCTTAATTTATTTTTACTTTATCAATTCAATATCAACCACATAAACCACATCCCATTGTTAGCGGGACGGAAGGAGTACTAAATAAAATAAATGGATAGAAATATGACTAAAGTTATTATAAATATAATTTTATGGTCACTATCATATACAAAATTGAACATGTTTGTGTTCACGCAAAGTTTTTTTATTAGGATCGGTTAAAAGAAAATCCGAACCAGAAACATATTGTGGCCGGGACATATTCGATTTTCTCACCCCTGATAGTACTTCAATTTCAATTTTAATCATCTCCGTGCAAGGCACGAATGAAAGAGCAGTAATAAAATGAGTGGATAAGCGGTTGGGCGGCAGCAGTATAAGTATATACGGAGCAGGAGCTGAAGCCCTCAAGAAAGAGCATCCGACGCTGCAGCAACGGGAATGGGAATCGTGAGAACGGATGAGAGGCAGAAGATGGAGATGGAGGAGCTCCGACGAATGCTCCTGTCCTGCGCCGGCACCGGCCGGAGTAAGGACCGCGAATCGCTCAAGTTATCCGGGCCGGTATTGCCGTCGGAGGAAAACGACAAAGTGGTATGCGTCACCGGAGGCGTTTCCTTCCTCGGAATCGCAATTGTGAACCAACTCCTACTTCGAGGCTACTCTGTTCGGATCCTCGTCCTCAACCAAGGTACGTACCTAACTTCCGACCTGTCACTTTCTTTTTAATGTTTTATTTATTACACAAAAATTAAAATACAGGCTTGGTTTTGTACAATTTCCTGTATTCATTACAACACAACCTATTACCTGTATACGGACTATATCAATATCAATACGTTTAACCAGGGTTACATACAACTATTCTAGTTCCAGCTTTCTTTCCGACCTAACGAACCCACCGATCTCGAATCTACCTGAGTTTTAAGTTCGAAAAATTAATCGAGTCGAGCTCGAACATAGTAGTATTCGGCTCGGCTCGGTTCGAGCTAGAGTCTATTAAACGCACTGAAATTATAAATACTACCTTCGTCCCGCTATGATTGTCCCGTTTTACCTTATCGGTCCGTCCCACTAAGATTGTCTCATACCAAATTTTGCAAAGTTTGTGTGGCTCTAAATCATTCTTACTTTATTCTTACTTTATCAATTCAATATAAACCACATAAACCACTTTTTATTGATTTGTGTGTCACTCTCTTGTGTCCCATTGTTAGAGGGACGGAGGGAGTATAATTTGTACTCCGTATGTGTCAAAGTTTAAATATACTCCCTCCGTTCCCAAAAATACTTCTCAGTTTCCTTTTTGTGCTGTTCCCAAAAATACGTCCCACTTTCCCATTTTGGACGATTTGTGTGGCTCACATTCATTTTACATTTTTCTTACACAGCCACAACCATACATTTCCACTTTATTTCACTTTCTTAATAAGCGTGTCAAGTCAAACCGGGAAGAATTTTTAGGAACGGAGGGAGTAATTAGTATGATTTTATGAATTTAAATATGATTCTTAACGAACCGAATACTTGCTGAATAAGTCTAGCACGAGCCTGTTAACGAGTGTCACCTAAAATTTTAAATTCGAGCGTTTTTATCGAGCTTATCGTGTGCTTGGTTCGAACATCAAACACTCATCAAGCCGAACTCGAGCCTCATTTCTAAAGCTCGCCGAGTTTCAAGCTCAAACTCGAACACCCGTATTACCGAATCGAGTCAAGCTCAAGCTCTGTTGGGTGTTCGAGATCGACTCGGCTCAGCTCATTCGGCTTTGAGGTTGGAACCCCATTATCTTTTCATAATTGTCCGATCGACTCTGGAGTCCTCCGGGATGAGAGTCATCCTTTTTTATATTAAGACGTCTATGTCCGTTCCGATTTGTTCATCCATTTCCGGTTGAAGCTATATATCCCCTAATAATATGTAAATTAGTACTGTAATAATAATTAAAATTCACTCGTATAACCCTACATCAAAAGTCATTTTGAACCGTCAAACACCTTACAGTCCCGTGGCATTGATGTTACAAAGTGAGTGAATGTCACATGTTTGAGTCCAATCTAAATCATAGATATTTACATTATCATTTAAAATTGAATTACGGAGTATAAAAAACTTATTTCGTACTTCCTTTAAAAATGAAGGACAAGAAAAGTATTACGGAGTACTTTTTTTTTTCTTTCCCATTGAATATTAACTACTTTGATTTGAGAAAAGTTAAAATTGTATGACTTAGATATAGGGAGTATGGGTTAAGGGATGGTTGAAACTTAAAACGATACACAAGCAGTCAGTTGTCACTTTACGTGATAAGAATCATATGATCAACATCTTTTCATTAATTTTGAAATATAATCTCATCTCTAACCACTTTGATTGAGAGTGATGTGCATTCCGTGGACTCGGAAATTTACACACGGCGTGCATTTAATATTTCAATAAGTGTTATTCATAGTTAACGAAAAACTTGATGTCAATTTGGTCTTCGCTTTATCATGAAAAAGTTAATTAGTTACTCATACTTTAAAAAAGTAAATCAAATCTCTGAACTTTGTAAAACCATGCAATTGGGTCAATGAACATGAAACTTGTCATGTCATCAGGTCACCCGGTGACGTAACGCACATGTGGCGGTCCATGTGTGTGACACGTCATTGGAAAATGATTGATTGAGCTTCCACATGGGCGTTGCATCAGCTAAGTCACAGTTGATTGGACGGTCACATATGTGCCACATCAGCAAGTGATTTGCTAATGTGGCAAATAACCTGCTAATGAAGTCAATTGAACGTTTTTACAAAGTGTGGGGATATAATTGACGTTTTATTGATAGTACAAGAATCAAATTGACAGTTTTTCTAATTCATAAAATTGATATCGAATTTAATCAGATTTCAACGATTTTTAAAATAGGAAAAATTGATTGTAATAATCTCAACTATTGGCGGTCCGATCATAATAATCCCAACTATCGATTATTTCAGAATAATCCCAACTTTAGGGACCTTCCGCCAATAATGGTCCGACGTGACCGACTATAAATAAATTCATATAGTTTCTAAGCAGATATAACAAGTAATCCCTATACATAATCCCAAATTTTAATTTTTACGCTTAATTTCTATTAAAAATTCACTTGTTAGATCAGAGAAGGTAATATGCGGTCATGAACCACTATTGGCGGATGATCCATATAGTTGGAATTATACAAAAATAATCAATAGTTAGGATTATTGTTGAGCTCGCCATCTTCACCGCAAATCAATATTTTCAAACCCTTAGAATTTGTTACTTTTGATACTGCAATATACAATTCACCATGCATGAACACTGACGTACTTTTTTAATACGAGCTCTGCATGTGACAAAAATTGACCTTGACCCTTATTCATAGTCATCGCGTAAGAGGTCATGACTGGAAATTGTATCTTCTTTAAAATTTGAACGATATTATTGAATCCGAAGGAGTTAAGCTTAACCTTGGAATGACATCTTCATGGTCGACATATTTTATTCTAAATTTTTTACGGGAAATTTCCTAGAATATGACTAAAACTCATTGAGTTTCCCTAAATATGACTAACCTAGTTTTTTGACATTTGTATGACCAAAAATCCACAGAAAAAAAAAAAAGAAAATCGTGTTTATTTTAAATGTTCAATGACGAAAATACCCTTATTTTAAATATGCACATTTGCATTAATTTCGTCCAATTAAAATTACTGCACTTTATATTGCACATTACTGCACGACATCACTGCATAATATTATTGCACATCCAATAATAATCACTGCACTTCCGTCAACTATAATTCTCTTCTCATTCACTTTAGAAATTTATTTATAGTTTTTTAGTTTATATTTTTTTAGATTTATTAATTTGATCATTTTATATTGCATTTCATGGCGGCATTACTGCTCTGTCTTACTGCCCAATTGGTCATAATCACTGCCCAACTAACTTTTTCAATGCATTTATTTACTGCCATATACAATATTATTTATTTACCGCCCATACATAAGATTTATTGCCATGTTCAACATTAAATGCCCTGCAAGCAACTGTTCATTGAAGAGAAGAATGGACAACATCGTTTCTTCCCAGACTACCGATTCTTCCCAACGCTTCCAAGAAACACCACCTTCTCCGAATCTCCGTGAATACCATTAACACCGAATCGGCGGCGTGACGGTGTCCATACCGATCTCTCCCTCTCCACCAGGTCTTCGTCTTCATCAAAAACTCATTCTAAATTCGACCCCACCACCATTAATCAACGTCAAATCTGTTACACTAATTCAGGGCTATCTTTGAATGGTGAGAAATCAGAGACAAGACATCGGCCGCCATCACTGCTTTGGCACCTAGGTCGGCGATTGTGCTCCCAGGTCAGAGATTGGTCTTTGGATGACAGCGGTTGTGCTCCTACGCCAGAGATATGTGGAAATCGGCGGCTGTAGTCCTAGACCAGAAATCTGTGGAAGGCTGCAGCGCTGGACAGTGAACGGCTGCTCGACAGCGGATGGAGGCTCAGCAGGGGCGGTTGCGTGGATGGGCTACAGGGTTATACGTGAGCGGCTGAAGCTAGAATTGGAAGAAAAGTAGTAGGAGATTGGGGTTTTATAGGTAAAACTTAAAGGGTATATTTGTCTCTAAAAAGTATTTATTATTTAATATTTCGAATTTTAATTAAATATTTTGAATTTTAATATTATTCTAGGAAAAAAACTGGTTAGGTCATAGATAGGGAAACTAATTGAGTTTTAGTAGTATCTAGGGTAATTATCTCATTTTTACTCGGGACATATATCCTATTATCGGTTAACATTATTAATTAGAATGTAAATGAATGCAAAGAGTTTAGATGCAACAGACACAAATATTTATAATTAAGGAGAAAATACTCATATAGTTGGTACAAATTATTTTTGGGAATAAGAAGCGATAAATAAGGAATTTATCGATTCAGGACCTGAAAGATAGACAAATCAGGTTCCGTAACCTACACATTTCAAAACATTTCGTTGTAAATAACATTGGTAGTATGGTTAATTTGTTTCTCATATTCACCGCGAATTAATATTTCAAAGTGAGCAGTGCCATTTATTTTGTCGGCGAAAATGCAAAATGACCCGTTGTGATGAGGCCACATAATTTTATGAACATTTTGATCAACATTTTTTGTTAAAAAATGTAATTACATATAAATAGGATTTTGATTACATTTTTTGTATATAATATACATACAATACATGTATTTCTTTTAATATAAATCCAATAACTTTACTAATCTAACATTGAAATAGTAAACAGTGTATTTATTTAAATACTTATAAACATTGAAATTATAAAAGTATTTTATTGTAAAAAGTCCCATTTATTTTATCGGCCATCGTTTTTTCTAATTCATAAAATTGATATCGAATTTAACTAGATTTCAACGGTTTTTAAAATATACTTCCTCCATTCCATAACAGTTGCAACATTGGAATTTCTGCACTATTCACATACCTTACTTTGATTACGATTTTCTAATAATATATAGGGAAAAGTACCTAAAAGGTACTTGTGGTTGAGCCTGTTTCTAGATAGGATCATGTGTTTCATTCTTTATCAAAGTGATTCATGTGTTTGAATTCCGTTATCACAAGATGGTAGATGGAACATAAACCGAAGGACTAGAACTGGTGGGTCTCAAGTTGTGATTCTTCATTAAAAGGTCATTATTTTGCTCAACTACAAGTAAAACTGATATTAAGTCGGAGTATTTTGAAAACCTTTTTCTCTATATTGCTGTTGTAGCAGCATATTAGAAATATGCATGGTAGAAAAGGTTTTCTCCAACATATCAGCATCAGTGACCTTTTGTCCGCATAACTTTAATTTGGATGTTATTTGGAACATGGCAGAATTATAGTCACTGATTGATTTAAAATCCTGGAATTTTAAATTGATCCAGTCGTATTGAGGTTTAGGCAAAAGTACCGTTTGTTGATGGCCATACCTCTCATGTAAATTGTCCCATAATTCTTTTGGGTCATCAACCAAAAGATATTCAGATTTGAGATTTTATGGAGATGGTGACGGAGAAAAATTATAGCTTTCGCTTTATCCTGGGAAGATGATTGATTAATAGCCTCAGTAGTGTCTTCGAGACCATTAGCCTTCAAATGTGCTAAAACATCAACTTTCCATTCCAGGTATTTTTGACCGGATAGATCAAGAACGTCAAATTCTCTTTTGCTTATGTTTGCCATGATACTGCAGGAAGATGATTTCTTGGAGAGTTTTGAGCAGATTCGTGCTGATAACGTGTTGTGAAATGAAGAAGATGATGAACAAATTTATGAGATAGATATATATAGATAAAACCTCTAAATTACTTCTTCCTAATATCGGGATATTTTCTGAATTTTCTCAGTACATTTACAAAGGGTTGATCATCCTATTTATACTAGTTGACTAGGAGATGAATCATCAAAGAATTATTCTACATAATCTGTTGGAAGCATTAAACCTAGTCATCTGTCTATTACAAGGATGGAAATTGGATTAATGTCCTGATGATAAGGATGAACAATTCGCACTTGTCATTCTCATGATTTTACAACAAATTTAAAATAAAGAAGATATATTTGAATAACGAGTAAAGTTGACATAAGCATGTGATAAATTAAAGGGATGAACCGAGACACGCCTACATGTGGTAAATTTTGCATTCTCATCCAAAGTCGGCTACTCATCTAAAGAATGTTATATGTAAATTAATTGCCTAATTCTATCAAATATCAGATATTATGCAACACGTGCCCAAAGAAGGGGCCCTCTAATGAATTTGGAGGTCCCAGTCACAAATGGAAAATTGAGGTCCTCTAAACCAATAAAATTACAAATTTGAACGATGAAATACATGTAGACTTGACAGTTCAATGAAATATAAGTTTTATGATGTTTAAAACACACAAATTAGAGAATCTAAAAATAATATACCTTTTTGAAATCTTGAATAATACATAACATCTATAAAAATAAACTTATAACAAATATTACATTCTAAAATTTTGGAGGCCCCATACGTGAGTGGGTCCCGGTGCCAAGCACCTGTTGCACCACCTAAAAGATGTCTCTGCCCAAAGATTAAGATATAGGGTATGTTTGGCACAACTAGCTGAAAAGATACTTTTATGAGTTTTTTAGTAACTGTTAGTTTTTAGTGATTGAAAAGATCTTAAAAGACTAATTAATACTCTGTACTAGAAGCTACTGACTTATCTGAGATGCTACTCACCGTAACATCTCAAAAAAATCTTTTGTTTTAATAAAAGCTCTTAAAATATGTGATGCCAAACATAAAATTAGAAGCTTTTAAAGACATTTTAAATAGTACAAAAGCTAGAATGCATGAACTTGTGTCTGTCAAACATAACCATAATCACATGAGCTTTTATATTTTAAAAAAGTATTTTTATATTTTTTTATTAAATTAACTTAATGTTGTTGTAGTTGAGTGATTTTTTTTTTTTTGCGATGAGTGAAAAAATATTTAAAAAATTAGAAAACAAAATGGTAGGGATTAGGATTTAAAAGTGCACAACTAACTAACTACTCATATAATGTGATTGTAGAGGATCTGGATTTGCTGAGGGAGATGGAAGAGTGTGGTGAAATGAGGGGATGTAATGGCAGCAACGTGGCAGAGGCAGTGATGGCGCGATTGAGTGACGTGGAGAGCATATCAGAGGCTTTCAAAGGCTGTCGTGGCGTCATCCACACTGCTGCCTTCATTGACCCCGCTGGCCTATCTGGATATTCTGTCAGTAGTTTCTCATTCACTTTTAATTTCCTCACCATAAAAACACAACTTTTTTACCAAAAAAGAACCACACTTTAAATGAATGATTATAAAAACACAACCTTTTCGATTCATCCCAAATTTATCTCATTTTTTCCTTTTTGATAAAGAATATGTGATTCACAATCATTCTTACTCATCTCTCCTCTGCACAACTCTGCACCACACAAATCTCACTATCTTAATCCACATGCCTAGTCAAAACCGAAGTTAATTATGGGACGTAGGGAGTAATTTTTTTGATGTTTTGTTACTAATTAATTAATTCATTAATGTAGAAATCAATGGCTGAGGTGGAAGTGATGACAAGCAAGAATGTTGTGGAGGCATGTGGACGTACAGTGTCGGTTAGATATTGTGTGCTCACCTCCTCTCTCCTAGCATGTGTATGGCAAGACCACACTACTTTTCTTAACCACAAAATTGATCATGACAGCTGGAGCGATGAGTCCTTATGTTTCACTAAAAAGGTACTTGAGTTTTGCTAGAGATACTTGTTTCATTCACAAAAGCTTAATGAAGTGTTTATGTGAACCATAAATATAGAGAGGGGTAGAAATTAGGGTGGCGATATCATTTGTGAAAATACTTTACCCATCATTTTAAGTTATCAAACTCTAGAAAACATTATAAGTACATTTTTTAATTTAGTCACATACATTTTTTCTTTTGAAATCAATAAGTACGTAATTGAAGTAATCTAAGCCTCCTTTCTACATATAGCAACACACTGTTTATTTTTTCATTCCAGATCAAATCAACTTTGATTATACGTCCATCCCATTTTAGTTAGTGAACATTGACTACGGAGTAGTACACATCTATATGGTTTTCATAACATAAATACTTTCATAGTCCGTATATAAAAGTATTATTAATCAAAGTTTTACATCATTGATAAGAAAAATCGAAGATGCTAAATGTATACAACAACACATTCGTACTTCGCTACTTGAGTTGTGTTGCCTTCATGTATAAAAAATGCGCTATAACGGGTATATATCAAAAACTTAAATATGAATGTCGTTGATATGAAATCACTGAATCGGCTTCGTCAATACAGGTTTTTCGTGCATTATTATAGCAATGTTTTTCTTTGATTTTTTTCTGAATAGTTTTTGAAATACAAATACACTCATTTTGATGTTAAATTGTTGCTTTTTCGGTTAATTAAAAAAAATGGATCATGTAAACTTCGATATTTATGGAGACACTATCAATTAAAAGTTCATGTTCCATACGGAGTAATTTTTAAAACTTTATGTCATGTTGATATTATGGGAAAGGTCATAAAAATTATACTCCGTATGAATTTTGCCTTCCCCTCCTGGCTCATTATTATTGTTCCCAATGTATTAAATTAGGAAACCAAATAGTTTGGACTACTAATCCCTCCTCCACTATAAGTTGAAAACCCAGTTATAAGGAAATTAGTACACCATTATGATTGTACCAATGTTATGGATTTATTCTAGTATCCATCCAAACAAGCTTCATTTTTTTTTTTGTTTTTTTTGCTTATTTAAAATGGGAAAAGGATAAAAAATGACACCATGGTTTTTAATGAAGTTCATATTGGACAAGTTTTAAGTAGACTAAATAAACACAAATTTAAACCTTTTGATTCCATTTTAGCCACCCTTAACTACTCCGTTATTTTGTTCCATTCGATGTCGCTAAAAAGCACCTCCGAAAGAGATTAGCTATGGACTTTGCCTCATCACCCCTTGCCAGGGGCGGCTTTGAGGGCAGTTGGGCCAAGCAACTGCCTTGGGCCTCAACTACCAAGGGGCCTCCAAAAAATTCTACTCCGGTATTAGTATTAGGTGTTATTCGCATACCGCCAATACACCAAGCGGCACCTGCAAGCAGAAATCAGCTTTATATTTCACTTTTGACTATCCGTCCTTCATCAAAGTTGTAGCTAATGAAGTCTTCTATCCAACACAACTTGCAAAACTGGATTTGAATCATCCAATAAAAATATATGAATAAAATGGTGGAAGGTCGCATTCTGAAATCTCAACAGAGATTGTCTGACTTCATCGTCTGTTTTCACCTTGCTTCTCTCAGATTCTCACAATGGTGTCTTCATATGATTTGTAGCCCTTGAAGTTGGCTTTCATATGAAACTTGAATCATGTTTTTTGGATGTTCCTAAGAAAAGATATGCTTGAACGATTGACAGAACGTCATCCTGACCGTTGTTTTCAAGCTCTATTCGTCTTCTTTTGATCTTGTAGCCAATTCTAGAGCTCTTCTGTCTTCAAAACTTTGTCTTTAACACCTCACTGATATCCATTGTTCCTAATCAACTCTAAAATGCTTCTCAACTCGTCCCTATTGCTTCTCAAACACCGGTGCCAGGCTCAAATTCCCTGATTTTAACTCCAAAAATACCAAAACTCGAATCAACGGCTGGAAAATATGACTTGAGCTTAAAATTGAGACTTATGACACCTTAAAGTTAGGAAAAAACTATCAAAAGCCGATCTTAACACGCATCAACGTCCAACACAGACCGCTAATCGGCTACTGTATATATGCCTCGCTGCCCGCCGTCGACATGGGTCCTTGGTTAGTGAATCAACTGAGACTCTTCAGCTCTTCTCTCCGAGTCTCGTTCTTGAAGTCTCTTAATACTTTTACAAGTACAAGTTTGCCTTGTGTTTTGAATAAGTTTGCATTTTAAAATTTATCTTTTTGAATATTACAAACATTATATCGTGGACTTTGAATACGCTTTTTTTCTTAAGGCGATTTTTATTCAATTTATCTGATTTTAAAAGTGATTTGTACATAGTAAATATTTTTTGTTTGGGCCTCCAAAATGCTCAAGCCGCCTCTGCCCCTTGCTCCCAATCCTCCTATCAGAAATTAGAACAGATCGATTCAGCTCTTCTTCTCCCAAGTGAAGGGAACAACACTCATCCTCTGCGGTGAAAAGAACGCAGCATCCTTCTGATACTCCAAATCAAATTAGGAGAAAAAATGATAGATGGAGCTCCTTCTTCTTCGACGGGCACATTGATGGGTAACATGAGAGATTCGATGGCTACCTTGAAACCTATGTCCGTTGCACAACAAAGAAAATCCGAGTAGAGAAAATCGATATCGAGTTCAACATCCAATCGAATCAGCAACGCCTTAACCTTCGGTACTGATTCAGCGAACGAGCAGCACCATTTGAACGAGCAGCTCCAGCAAATGGCGCCAACAAAAAAAAGTCAGCACCAACATCTTCTCCAACACCGTTTCCGATGGGAGTCATGGGACTAATGGTGTGCAAGGGAAGAATAGGTCTCGTTCAATACTTTGGGTTGCTGAAAATACTACCCACAAGGGAAGAATCAGCGAACAATACTGCCCAATTTTTATCATAGACCTACGATTCTTCATCCTCCACCAAATAGAAGGCTCTCTACACACATGAACTTGATTTTCATACATTGGGCTGTTATGTTTAACGACAGGGAAGGGTCAACTAACAGAGATGTTAAAAGGGGTGGCTGAAATGGACTCAAAAGGTTTAGAGCCTGTTTACTAACAGAGATATTTTCCAGTTTTCCAGAAAATTGGAAAACTAGAAAACAGAAAACAGGAAACATGTTTACCAAAGAAAATTCCTGGAAAACTGGAGAAAGGGAAACAGAAAACCGCGTTTACCAAACCATTTTCCAAAACGAAAAAAATGAGACATGACTCTCTTTTCCTTAATGATTTGGAGAAGTGACTTTTACTAGTTTTCCAAATTTAGAAAATGCAGATGCTACAGGCCACTGCAATGAATTTGCATACTTACACCTAGTTGTGGGTCTGCTCCCGCTCCGATGTCGATTTAATTCTAGTACATCCATCCTCATACCTTACCCATTACCCCTACCCTACCCTACCCTACCCACCCAACCTCCACCCCGCACCTTTTCCCTACAATGACCCTACCCCCACCCCTTACCACATTCCCCTACCTCGGTCAGACCCCGATCCACCCTACCCTACCGCCACGCCCTACAACCTCAACCCCACTCCTACCCACCCTAACCCTACCCCCACCTCGTATATTAACCCTTACTCCTACCTTACCCTTCCCACATGCCCCCTACCTCGGCCCCACCCTACCGCCATTCTACCCCCCCCCCCACCCTACTGTCATCCTACCCCACCACCATCCTACCCCCACCCTACCCCTTCCCCTACCTCGGCCCCACCCTGATCCTGACCCCACCCTACCGCCATCCTATCCCAATCCCTTGCCCTACCCCTACCTTACCCTAACCCCAACCCTACTCACTACCCCCACCCTTACCCCTAACCACCACCCTAACCCACCCAACCTCGTACCCCTAGACCTTACCACCCCACCCCACCCACCCCCACCCCACCCTAACCCATACCTTACCCCGACCCCTACGAGTAAGTATGGTGGGTATGAAGGGTTTTAGGGGAGTATGGGTAGAGTGTAAGATCGTGGTAAGGGTAGGGGTAGGGGTCAAAAGTGTGGAATTGGGTGTAGGGTGGGGTACGAGGTATAGGGGCAGGGTAGGGGTTAGGAGTATGGGTACACGTATGAGGTGATCGACCCCACATATTATATTATATATTTGTGTTCATGAATGTTTGTGTGTCTATATATATGTATAGAGTTATTTTAGACATTTTAATGTTAAACGGTGTTTTAAACCTTTTGAAGTAAACACGATCTTATAACATTGCTTATTTTATGTGTCGCTTATTAACGCGAGTCTTAATAAGCACCATTTAGTAACCCGTGAAGTAAACATGTGAGTCTTCTGGATGATCACAGAACTGGGTGAAAAAATTGATGAACACTTTTTCAGATTTAAAAATGAAAAACTAGAAAATAGAAACAGAAAACTGGAGATGGAAAAACTGAAAAATAAAAACAGGAAATTGGAGAACGGAAAATAGAAGTAGAAAACAGGAAAATATCTCTTATTGTAAATAGGCCCTTAGATTTGTGTTTATTTGGTCTATTTAAAACTATGGTGTCTAATTCGAACTTCGTTAAAAATCTTAGTTTCATTTTTGGACCTTGACCCTATTTAAAATTGTGTTTTAAAACTTGGGAGAGCATTTTCGATGAGTCTGTTTTGTTGAACATAACCTTAACCATCAAAATGTAAATACAGCTTTGGACCGGTGGGCGTAGCCCAACTGGTAGCGAGGGAGTGCCACAAGGGTTAGGTCCCGGGTTCGAATCCCGACAACTGCGATGAGGGATTACTATGCTAAAAAATGCATATGGCCTCTGCAAGTACCGGGGACAGAGCCCCACTCTCTATCTGTCAGATTGGGATTATAGTCCAACTTACATCCTCCCAACGTACTGTCCGGTCGGGGTTGGGGGACCCTCAGGGGTGGGGTGTCATCCTTTTTTTGTAAATACAGCTTTGGTATGCATTGGGTAAGCTAAAGGCGGAAAGGGCAGCGTGGGAAATAGCAATGGAGGCAGGATTGAAGCTCACCACCATTTGCCCAGGTCTTATCACTAGCTCCGAGTACTGTAACAGGAACTCAACATCCACCATTGCATTTCTCAAAGGTATTTTTATGGGAAAATGGAAACTAATAATCCAACCTTTTAACGCTCTTTCTTACAATAATCCCACCTTTTGATTATTCAGGAATAATCCAATCTGTGCACCTCATCTTTATTCAATGGTCCCTGATCAGTTGATGACCTGATATTTCAAATTATTTTCTTATCTTTGCAAAACATTATATGACCATACGGTAAGATTCATAATATATAGCAACGACAAGAAAATAACTTGTAATAACATGTCATCAACCGATTAGGATCATTGAATAAAGATAGGATGCAAAGATTGAATTATTCCTAAATAATCAAAAAATGGAACTATTGTAAGAAGAGCACTAAAAAATTGGATTATTGATTTCAAAAATTGGACTATAGTAAGATTCTTTTATTTCTCCTTCCTTTGCTCTCCTTTTCTCATCTGCATAACCTTATGGGATCCAAACAGACCCTTACTGAATTGAACTAAAGACTTGGGTAAATGTTTTTTGGTTGATTAACTTAGGAGCTAGAGAGATGTGCGAGAGAGGGGTGCTGGCAACAGTGGATGTAAACACATTAGCAAAGGCACATGTAGGTGTGTACGAGGAGATGAATAGAGCAGCTCATGGGAGATACATGTGTTTTGATCAGATTATTAAGACTCCAGAAGAGATCCAAGCCCTGGAAAGAGAGACTGGAATTGATATGAGCAGTCTTATAACAGATGCATCCCACCAGTCACCAAGAGACAGAATTCAACTCTCAAACTCTAAGCTTAATCGCTTAATCTCTAACACATTCAGATGTAAACACTACTAGCTTACCATATTTATGTAATACTCCGTATATATATGAATATTTATCAATTGCATTTGCTCAAGTTGAATGAGAATGGCTTTTAGTTACTACAGCCAGATATAGGGGTGTGCATTTTGGTTTTCGGTTCGGTTTTCTTCGGTTTCGGTTCAATTTCAGTTCGGTTTCGGTTTGATAGAAAATGTACCAAATACAAACCGATTAAGTTTCGGTTTGGTTTCGATTTGGTATGATTCGATTCGGTTTGAACTTCGATTTACCAAAGTATTAAGGTTTGGATTGAAATAAAAAAAATTAACTCAAAATAGTGAATCAAGAAGGGATAGTAATGAACCAAATATAATACTAAATATAAATTTACAAACACTAACAAAACATACATGAACCAAAAATATATAAACATGACACATTTGTAAACAACAACGGAAATGAATTAATTTATATATAGAGCCAAAACAAAACAAATATGGTGCTTATAAGTAATAAACCAAATATATGGTAGAAGTAGATTATAAATTATAGTTAAATAGTATCTATTTAAACTACTATAATTGTTATAATTGTGAATGTAACTCTTGTAATAAACACTAATTCTAGATATTAAAATTAAAGAATTAAAACTTCAAAGATATTAACATCAAACAAATTAATGAGAGAAATCTTATATTTTGGTTTGATTTAGTTGGATGTAAGTTGGTTTTGATTTATTATTTTAAAAAAATAAAAAATTATTTCATGTTTAGATTAGTTCGATTTTATTCAGTTTTATGATTTCAATTCAATTTGGTTCAATTTAATACGGATTCGAAGAAATACTATCAAACTCAAACCAAATTGCAAATGGCTTAATTTCGTTTTGATTTAATTCAGTTTGGTAAGGTTCGGTCAAACCGAAGCGTTATGCCCACCCCTAACCAGATGCTTTTTGTAAATAGGGCTTTCTAAACATTTAAGGGTTCCTCAAAAACAAAAGTTATGTGATTGATTTCTGTTTCATTGGATGCCAAAGAAAAGTTTTGGAGTTTTGAGGTTTGCATTTCATGGAAACTCTTTGTATCAACAATCTTTGTATCACATGGATCTCCAGCAATGTTCAACGTTTAATGCCCCAAACGTCATCTTAAGCCATAATTAGAGCCCGTGTGTTTGTTCAAATAACTTCTTTACTCAATGTAAAACATCATCATTTAACTTCTTTACCAGATTGCATGTTCTCCGCCTCATTAATTATATGTACATATTCTTGATACGAAAATGCAAGTTCTCAATTGTAGAACGCTGTTCCTCCAACAACAATGATTTGGTGCTGAGCTGCTTTAAATAGTAAAATTTATGTAAAATGTGGGAAACTACAGCAACATATATTTGTGATGAATGTTCTAATGCTTACTAGACCAGCTTCAAAGATGGGAAATCTCAGCAAATCTGAAGAGCAAAAGAATGATTTGATCTACGAGCAGATAAACACCTCCCTTCCTAATTATTATTCTATGAAAGGGGGCTGCCTGAATTTCTGCTCGATAGTGGTCTTGAATTCAATCAAAATTGACAAAAAGGATAAAAACAGAAAATAAGAGGTTCAGATTATTGCTTAATCTGCTCAACGAAGAGCTTTTGACGGCTCCCCTCATACAAGAGGTGTCAGAAATATAAGAAGCACCATCATCATCACCAGCATTCAAACAAATGCCGTTCAACTCGTCCAAATGACATTCGGAAAAGCATTAAACTGCAAATTTGCAAATGAAATAACAAAAATCTCTCTGAAAAGACCGAATCTACGGAGGAACCTGACGAGATTGAGGGATGGGAAGATGAATATGGAATTGCCGAAATAGCTAGCGACTGGTTGCGATTAAGTACTGCCGGGTTGCTAGGGTATCGAGAGGGTCGGATTGCATAGTACGTTATTATTGGGCTTTATGCTCAACTCTCTAGTCGCTATACAAGGCCGTGTGGTATTTATTTGAGTCCATTAGTAAGAGATAGATACACTATAATTCGGAACTACAAACAAAATCAGAGAGTCGATTTACATGATTTGAATTGTCTATCGTAGGTAATCTCTCTTATAATCAGTTTTGATTCCCTCAATTGATATATCTATCTTTTTTGGATTGAATTTTTATCTGCATCTTCATTTGAAAAAACATTAACATAGTATTAGGTTTCTGGAAGTGTTTTGCTTCATGTTTTAATATATTTTTAGCATTAGTTATTCCATAATAATTCAATTTCTTAGGATGTACCTTGTGTCTTCATTTTGCAATGGTTATTGTTGGGATATTGGCCTAGAGGCCCAATACCCAGTTCGGGAAGGCCCAAGGTATCCGGCCCAAGCAACGGGCTCATCGCTCTATGATGAATAGATCCAGTAAGAAGACATACCGAACGGAGTTCGGGCCATATACCATACTTGGGCCAATTTGACAGCATCTTCAGTATGGACCAACATCCCGTTCGAGCAACGGCCAACCAGCAAGTGGCCAGGTGCAGTTAATGCCAGACTATGACATCAGCAAGTGGAAGCATGGATGACCAAGTCGGTGGAACAACGGCCAATCAGCAAGAGGCAGCCCATGCTCTCCATTAGTATAAATAGAAGGTTTCAAGTCATTGTAAGGGTCAGCATTTCAATACTCAAGCTCTAGAATAGCATCATTTGCTCTTATTTCTTGTATTAAGGCATAATTTCCGAGTTATCGATCGGGAAATCCCTTGTAATCAGATTGGTTAATTGATACAAGCGAGCTTTCGAGTTTTAGTTAGTTCAGATCTTATATTTTCTTTTACACTTTGATTCTGGGCCATTCCTGATATATCCAAAGTTCGTGTTGGGCTTTCGGATCTACGGGACTTACCCTCAACATTGGCGCCGTCTGTGGGAAACTTGCAAAAAGTTTCACTTTCTAAACATCCAAAAAACCTCTATTTTTTTATAAAAAAAAAAATTGGTCAGAATCAATTCCTATCATACAAACGACGGTTCACACCGTCACGGAAGGAGTCACACCCCGGGGAGTCAAAACCCCCAGGGACAATCCAGTCGAGGATCCTATCCTCGCATTGATGGGGATTTTGTGATCCCCGAATCTCTGAGGAGAAATCCCCAGGCCATGCGTGACATGGCCCAATTCATGCAGCACATGGCAAACGAAGAAGAAGGAGGTTCCAGCTTTACAGGAGAAACTCCACGAGCAGAAACGACCACAGCGTCATCCCGCTCACATACCCATCGGGATAATCGGCGTAGCGCCCCACCAGCAGCGCATCCCAGTCCCAGTGACCGAACCCTGGTCAGGTCGCAAGCTAGAGGGCCAACTCCCGTCGGTCATCATTTCCAATATGTCGAGCGGGAAAATATTAGGGCCCCTCAGCGGCATTGGGACCGGGACTGTGCGGATATGAGGGTTCCACCACCGCCCCCTTTGACGGCCCAGGAGGAAGAGATGGCCGAGATGAGGAGGCAAATGAACGAAATGCGGGACCACATGAACAGGGTACCTGCACAACCTGCACCAGTCCAACTGGGGATTACTTCCCCGTTTACAAGGGAGCTCATGTACGCGGACATCCAAGGGGGTGCCAAGCCTCCGACCGGCCAAATATATGATGGGGTGGGAGATCCCCATGTACATCTGAGGAGTTACCAAGGCGGACTTATGCTGCTAGGAGCACCCGAGGCTGCCATTTGCCGTTTGTTTTTCAGCACGCTCAGGGGGCCTGCCCAGGAATGGTTCGGGACACTGCAGCCCGGGTCAATCAATAGCTTTACCGAGTTATCAACGTTATTCTTGGCTCAATTTGCTTCCAGTGCCAATCACAAACGGCATTTCAGCTATCTGACCAGCGTGAAGCAAAACGTCAAGGAGACCCTCAACCAGTTCCTGAAAAGGTGGAGGGATGAGACTTTAACAGTGGGAAGCATGACGGATGATACCGCCATCACCCTGTTCACGAATGCTCTCCGAACGGGGGAGTTGTACAAAGAATTGAAGAAGAGTCCGGGCACGGTGTACGCCGAAGTATTAGATAGGGCGCGCAAACATGCCGCCCTAGAAGAAGAAATAATGATCAGGGATAAGGTCATTACGCCTGCTGCCCCAATCAGACTGACTGATCGGCTGGGTCCTAGCCCAGCGGCCACTCTACCTCCCAAGCAAGGGAGATTTACACCTCTGGTCCTATCAATAGCGGCCATCTATCAGAACGAGAGGGACAATATCCCCATCCCGACTGATTCTGGACAATTCATGGGAACGGATGACAATGCTTTCTGTAAATATCACAACAGAAAGGGTCATGCCACCAATGCCTGCAGGGCCCTGCAAACAGCAATTGAGGATCTGATCCGAAGGGGCCATCTGGGCAAATATGTGAACAAAGATCCGAATGCCATGGGCACGTTAAAACCGGCCAGGAAACCTAACAGCTGGCGCCGGGATGCTCAACGTGACGCCCAGCCTCAGAATGATATGTATGTTCCTCCCAGAGAGGAGCCAGAGGGCTCAGTAGGCCCCGGAAAGAAACCTCGAATGGAGGTCAGGGTCATATTTGGGGGCGGAGAGACCGGAGATTCGAACGCCGAACGGAAAAGGTTCGAGCGGAGTCTTTATGTGGGGTCCGTCTCCGCTCCCCCCCAGAAGAAAGGAAGGACAGACCCGATCACGTTCGGGCCAGCTGATCTACCCAACTCTCCAAGCCCCCACAGGGATGAACTGGTAGTAAGCATGTGTATTGACAATGCTTTAATCCGCCGAGTGCTGGTCGATACTGGGAGCAGTGTGAATGTATTGTATCTACAATCATTCGAGAAAATGGGTCTGCAAATGAGCAACCTGACCCACCTGCGGACTCCGCTGGCAAGTTTTACCGGTAACTGCATCGAGGCGGAAGGGACCATCCGATTGATGGTTGAAATTGGAGATGAAACCCACAAAGCGTCACTCCGAATGACGTTCGTGGTGGTAGACATAAAGTGCGCCCATAATGCCATTTTGGGCCGACCGGGATTAGAAGATCTGGAGGCGATAGCCTCTGTCCGCCACTCATGCATCAAATTCCCCACACACACTGGGGTAGGGGTGGCCAGAACTGACCCAACAACAGCCCGGACATGTTATCGGGAGGCCCTGAAACAGATGAACACTCGTGGGATGCGGGTG